TACAATTTTCTATTCATGGACTCTGTACCATATGGTATTTTTTAAGGCGAGTAGTGTATATAATTTAATTTTAAGAGACTGGTGCATCGGCGCATCGGCGTTCGAAATGCCGAAGGAACGGGTTTGTCCAGTTAGCTTTCTTTTGTTGGGCCAGTAAGATCTTTGGTTAATTAGTTTAGATAGGCTAAAATATAAAAGATTTTGGGGGGGAAAAATGTTAGGTTGACCTTAATATAGTAACATATTTTTTAAAAAAAGGGGCCCTGAAAAGTTAAATGATAATCAATCGTGAAGGTTAGTCCATTTGTGGTGGTTTTAAATTTATCATTAGTGCTTCTTAAAATATGTACGACCTAAAAATGTTCTCAAAGATCAAGCTAGTATGACTATAAAAAAAGATGAACAATTTTCTTTCGGCCGGAAAAGGATGAGCAATCATTTTAAATAATACCAATTATACTATTTTCCCTCAATATTTAATCTAAGAACTGGTTAGCTAATTTGAATAGATTAAAAAAACTAATTAAGTTAGTTATTTGTAATAAATAGGTGTTGTCTTTCTTAAAATACTTTTATTAGCAAAAACTATCATGTGATAAAATTTTTAATATGTACAATTATTACAAAAACTATACTAAAAACATAGATAAATATAAGAGACATATTAAATTAGAGTCTTATATTTAGGACTAAACTGAATGTTAAATTAGTTCTTATATTAAGAATAAGGTAGATGTAGTAACTTATCATTTATAAGTGAAACAAAAATATTTTATATTATTTTTTATCCCATGGACACGTCCTCATTTGTCATTTCCACACGCCTTACAAAGAAGTCTGAAAAGAAATAAAATATGAATTCTGAATTAATTAATGGATTAGGCTTAGTAAAAGTAATCAATCTATCAAAAGGTGACAAATCAATATTTAAATCTTTTTTGAGAAAAATTTTTATATTTAATACCTGATAATATCTCAAATAAGATTGATTAGATTGCCTCCAATAAAAATATATGTGCTTACCAAAAACAATTTTGAAACCGGATGTGGTGTAATTAAGCATGATGGTTTAATTATATTTATAAATAAATGGAAAAGGAGGCATTGAGGTGTCGATAAGTGATGGGTTGAGCATTAAAGGAAGAAGAACAATGGTAAGAGAGAGGAGGTGGACAAAGGGGAGTGGAGAAACATGGGTTGCGTGTAAGCCAACTAATCCAACCACATCCTTCTTTTTTTTTGTTGTTGTTAAACCTGAGATCCAACCGCATCCGTTAAACTAAACTCCCCTCTCCTTTTTCCCCCCATGTAGGAGTTTTCATTTTTTTTTTTTTTGCATTTGTATGTAAGAAATAAATAACTAATTCATAAATTAATTAAAAGTATTTATTTTTCATAGATATAAGTTACAAAGTATGTTTAATAAATTTAATTTAATGAAGTGTATAAGAAAATTTTTTTAATCAATAAGATATATTTGGTATTAGGAGGAGACTTCCTGAATTCTTTTATATATACTAGCGCCGGGGGGGGGGGGGTAATATTTTTGTTTTCGTCAATGGCTTTTCCCCCCTCATTTTGTTCCTCTCCTTTATTTTTATTTTTTCTTCCTTTTGTGTCCAAGGAGTGGAAAGTGGAGATCGGATTCACATTTCTAGCTCGTGCTTATATATTTTTTTCTGATAAAACCTCGTGCTTGTTTTGCTCCTTCTTTTGAAATATTTTTACCAAATAAATTCATTTCAAATTTATATGCTTTTTTTTGCCTCATAAATTTATATGCTCTACACACATGCACACAAAAACATCTTAACACCAGATTCAAATTTAGAACTCCTCCCAACATACGGATAGTGTTGACATTGGGGTAACTTGTCATTGCCCTGTAAATAATAACACCTTCAGTTGTTAACATAAAAACTAATTGACTAATTCGACTAAAATAAAAAAATTAATTAAATTAGTTATTTATAATAATTAAGTGTTGTCTTTCTTAAAATATTCTTACTAATTTTGTATATTATCTAAAATATAACATTTGATGAAACATCTAGCATATATAACTATTATGAGAATTATTTTAAAAAATAAATAAATATAAGAGATAAAATATATTAAAATTTTATATTTAAGACTAAATTGAATATTAAATTAGTTTTTATACATAGTATGAGTTGTTGTAAATTTTACACTTGTATTATATGTATAAATGAAGGAGTAAAGCAGGGTAGAGGAGCACTCAATGATTTGGACGGCTATATAAGATATATAACTCAGTGATAAGGAGCACCATTCGCGAGTCAAAGATCTGGATTATTCGTTCGATTCCACGTAATAACAGATGAAGCTAAATTCAAGAGGGCATCAAATGAATTTTGAAGAAGTGAAACGTGGCCTCATCCTACTCACTTGTTACCTCACAATCTCCACCGTTCGCTAATTAGGGCCGCCATACATCTTAAGAGAACGTCACGTGCCCTTGGCTGGGCGCGTAAATAGACCCACGCGCGTGATTACTCTTCTAGAGGAAGGGAAAAAGGGCGTTTAAACGGTGCGTATTGAAATTGAATAGACTACGGGTCTCGTAATTCAGTACTTCCTATGAAATCTGACGTAAGCCGTACAATTTAAGTCATATAAAAGTAATGTAATTATTAAAAAAATTATACGATGTTCACTTACTGTAAAATTTCTTAATATTGTAATTTTTTTATAAGTTATTAATTAAACCGTATAAAATTATCTTAGATTTTAAGTTATATATAAATAATTTTCTATCCTTAAAGCTTTTTTTTTTATTTTTATGAACTCCCTGAAACCTGATTTGTACAATAGCTTTCGTCTGTACAGACTTCTTAAAAGTGTAGGAAATTAAAAGATTCCATGTGTTGATCTTGATCCTTTTCTAATAAAATGATTAATATGATTCCCAAATAGATATATGTGTACATAATTAATCACTTCATGGTATTGTTACATTCCACATATTTGCATTTTGGACCTCAAAAGAGGAATATGCACGTTATGTGGAATGTCCCAATACCATCAAGTGATTAATTATGGACACATGTATTTGGGAATCATATTAATGATATTACCAGGAAAGATCACTAAAGAGCTATGCTTTTATTATTATTCAATGCTCAACAGTTATAGGTGGCACCCGTCCCTCTTCTTTTACTTTTTTTTTTTAAATTTGTTTTTGTTAAATTACTGAACCAATAGCAAAGAGTGAATTGGGAAAAAAAACATGGTCATCAAAATTGTTTATATTAATTATATCAACTTTTTCAGACTATGTGTTCTAATTATAATAAATACAAAAAACTTGATTTAAGTACTATCCAATATAAAATTATAGCATAGTGTGGGGGCCACCTAGTATTTTTAAAGTTTTGATTAAACATGAGGCAGTGTGTATAAGCCTCTGAGTGCGATGAGGTGAAGAATGGGGAAAAAGTATCATAGCACAACAAATTATATTTGTATATTATAAATAGCATTAGTCATTTTTCTTATTTTATATAAATTTGCAGTAATGGCAAAGGCAGAGATGCGATTTAGGCTCTGCGGCCCCCTATTGCATCTATCCTATCTCTGCTTCCTTTCCAAAGAAAATATCTGTAACAGGGATTGCAACTGGGATTTGTATAACTTTAAAAATGCACAGTTTAGAATTACTCATGTATTTTACTTTAAACATCTGATAATATATTAAATTTAGCTTATCCGCACTTAATTCAAATGATTCATCCTGGAAAGTTAAGGGGAAAAAGAAGGAGAAGAGAGAGAAGGTGAAAGCATGAGCAATTGGGCTAGTGATGCTAGAAAGCTGATAATTGAATGCATCTGCTTTAATTACTTCTTCCTTCTGCTTTTTTGGTGGGGATGAAGTGTGAGGGACTCCACATCATTGTCCTTCCTAGGTTGTCCTCTCTTGTCCTCTTTGTAATAATGGAAAGCGAAATAAAAAGATCAAAACCAGCATTTTAATTTAATTTTTACAATTTTAAACTAGTACCTCAACTAGATTTTTTTCCTTAAAATATCTACAGATTGAAGAGAGCACAGATCAAATATAAGTTTTTTTTTAAAATTCAGGTGTCGTTTTAATTTTGCTGTAGTTTAGCTGTAGTGGGAACACAAAAGTAGTAAAGTAACAGTCGACAGGTTTTTCCAGATGAGGTGGGAGCATGATGAGATTAAGGAAGGAAAATGAGTGTCAGTTCAGCTGTTACATCCAACCCAATGATCGCTTGATGAGGCCACTCTTCATTGTTTCCAACCCAAGACGGGATAAACCCCATCACATTGCTTCCCCTCCTGCCTACTTTTTCCCTGCATTCATCGTTATCCTTTTTCTCTTCTCTCCTCTTTCTTTAGAAACTGATTTTTTAGGAAGTCATAAATTTGAGCAATTACCATTTACTCTATCATTATTGAAACTTTTACATAATTATATTTCTTACTTAGAATTTCATAATAATTCTCTTTAAAAAATAGTGACTTCATAGTCCATACTCACTTTCCATGCTGTTTACATCCTTTCTCTCTTTAGTATTACCAAAAGAGGACAAAATTATTTATATTTAAAATCTCGAGGTCTTACAAATCCTAATGTAAACTCTCCTTAAGAAGGAGTCTTAGTTATTTCAAACACCAAATTGTCGTTAGTTCTTGAGTAGGGACGACGTATTGGCGAAGAATACTCCTAGCTTCACCAAAGAATCTTTAGCTTAACTTTCTAGGTCTTTGGACGTAATTTTCTCCGAACCACGGGGCACTCATTTCAGACAAACTGCCTTACCCGCTCAAACAGTTTTTTTCTTTTTGTTTTTTGGCCAAACACCTTATCAGGTTTAAATATCTCAGTATCTCACCCGCCACCATCCCCTGAACTGATAATAACAGCTCCAATCTCTTACCCCACTAAACCTGAGACCTGCAAATCAGGAAAAAACAAAGTGTGCAGATACGAAAATATGTCACTTTCGCCCATCCCTAAGTGCAACTTGGATTTGATCTTATCTAAAAAGCGCATAACTGACACTACGAGATATTTTTACAGACCGAGAAAAAAAAATCACGACCAGATATTTAAAACACTCTGCACCAGACCAGATATTTAAGACACCCTGTACAGTGCTTGCACTTTGTATAATAAATTATCTGAGCATGTCACAGCATTAAAACCCTGAAAAGGCACCGTGAGCGTGACTAGAGATTCCATTTTGAACGGAATGTGTGTTCCGGAAAAATAACCATGAGTCGCAAGGAGCATGAGAAAACCTCGGATTTTTGTGTAAGAGAGATGGCGCTTATAAGATTCCAAACAATGACATTCATCAGAATCTCATAAGCACAGGACAATTTATTCTCTATAGTTCATCTTCATCGTCCTACCTCCCCCAAACACGGAAGCCATTTTCAAGGTCAACTTTGCAGCCATTTCCCTTCTCTGGAAATCAGGCATCAATCTTAAGCCAGCACGCATATTGCCTATCTCTGACATTAGCTGTTCCAAATCCTCCAAGTCAAGACCTTTGCCTAATACCCCATCTTCTTCAGAATCCCCAACTTCCTTGTCACCCTCATCCTGCAATACAGTGCTTGAAGTTGATGGTTGTAAATTTTTATCAGACTTGGTTCCATCTTTGAGTTCAGAATCTGAGATGGGGTTGTTTTGTGAAACTGATTTTCCAGCATCTAAGGGAGTAGCAGAAACCCATCTTTGTTCTGTGTCATCCCAAGGATCAGCTGAACCATCAGATAGGACTTCATACTCCAATTCATAATCAGATTCTTTTGAAGAAGACTCTGAAAGAAAAAGCCATATATAGTAAAGCACATATAATATATAGCAGGCAGTGGCACGTAGCCTCCTCCGAGAAACGGGAAGAATTAACAGAGGAAAAACCTTTCTGAGGTATTGATGGTTCACTTATTTTATCACCAGACTTTAAGATCATCCCAGGCCACATATGAGCAGAAAGAGCACCAAATAACCGTTCAACTCCTTGTGAATCACCATCAACAGACAAGCCTGCCAACAATTGTTTATTTTATTTCAGTGACACAATTCATGTATTGATGTAGTACGAGTTGGAAATAATCTTCCATCGTTCATGATGGTGTTCTAAAATGATATTATGTGTCATCCTTCAATAACAAATTGCAGTATGAAACTGACCATCTTCATGCATAATTACTAAAACGACAGTATAGGTGCTGCTATAATCCTCTGCCAAAAGATAGTTATCAGTCACGAGAAATGTGACTTCAAAACAAAGATTAGCTCACAATGGCCAGCATAGTAGCCATAGTTGAGGCCCGAAATTCTCTTTAAAGCACGCTCCTTTAAGAGTAACTGACAGGAGGAATATATTTATAGGTATGTATATAGCTAGTAGTATTTTATACTCTATAAGTGCATTAGTTACCGCTGTCCAAGTACCAGAAGATAAAGAAAAATGTCCAGTACGGAGCAGTGCAGTAGGATGAGCACCGCCATGATGAAAGGGAATGCTATGATGCCATAAATTAACGAAATTAGTTGTTCCTCAACAAATTTCATATTTTGCATCAAAGGAAGAATGTTAATTTATACTAACTGTCCAGCCACATGCCTCAGATAAATAGAAGACTTTTCCAAAAAGAGCCTGAACAGCAAGTTTTCTCTTGAAACTCTTCTCTGTATAGCCTGATGCATCCATGACTACAGGGCCTAAAAACATTAAAATACAATGTAATAGAAGTCAGAGAGAATGAAATAACAATAAATCGTGAATCCAAAATCTTAAGACATTTTCATTTAATTACAATAGGTAAAAATATTGGATTCATTCACAATAAGCAGTAGTTGGGTATGATGGAAGACAGGTAATGAAAGAAGGATCAATTCTATCTCATCATCGCTCTATGGCTTTCAAGTTGCTACTTCTCAAAATTATGATTTAAGGTCAGCTACAACACACCTTTAATTGTAATGACATCTTCTAGAGATCACTATGCAAACACAAACTTCCAAACCATTCATATAAGGTCTACTCCCTTAAAATTGATTTATATTTTCAAATTGCCGAGTCTCCCAACATTAGCAAAACATTATTCACATACAAACTACTAATCAATCTTCATCCTTCTCCCCTCAATCTGAGCTTCGATCTTTGATCTCCAGTTCGTCTTCTCCATTTCCTGTGTCTGAGAGCATTTCGATCTTTGATTTCCATTGCAATAACAAAAACCTAGTGGTTAAAATAAGATTGCGTCCAAAATGGCAAACCCTTTTGGTAAATGAAGCAGACAAGACCTTTGATTCAAATGAATTAAAACCCATACCTTGTACTTCAAATGAATTAAAAAAATTGAAGCCTACGAGCCTTCCAGGTCTGACGCCATTGACGATTCTGCATTGGGTGCTTAGATTTCAATTTTACGGTTTATGTTTCTGATTTTAATTTCTGCTTTGCCTTTCCCCCCCCATATTTTCCTGATTCATTCTATTGATGGGTACTCAGCCACCCAGCGGGGATGGATTTTTGGAAGGTCAAGGAACGGAAGAAGACCAGGGCAGTTATGTCTTTTTCCTAATTTTCATTTGAGTTGGGTCTTACCTATTTTTTCTTAATCCCATCCCATACCAAACATAATTTTAAAACTCAATACCAACTCCAATCCCATGCCCATTCCCATTCCCAACTCCATTCCCAATCCCTTAAACTTTAATACCTCATATCAAACATGACCTAAGATTACTCTAATGAACCACCACTGTTTTAGTGCAAATTTCCTGGATGGAAACCAACATTCATTTAGAATGACATTCTTATATGAGTAGCACTCCCTGCAGCCAAAACTCATTAGACATAATAAAATCCATGTACAAATTTTGTTCCCTACATCATAATATTTATAGCAGGACCTGAGGTTAACCCAAAACTACTCCAATGACCTATGCTATATGAGGAGTAACTTACCTTTGTCTCGCACAATTCGTCGTGAGATTTCATTCAGAATCTCCGCAACTTGGGAGTCATTTAACATAGAAGCTCTCCTCAGCTGAATTAAATCAGCTACCACATCAGGGTTAAATGGTTTCTCATTCAGAGCATAGCGAATATACTTGCGCAGAATTTCTTCCACATTAAAGCCTACGTGTATATTAATTTGAAAATGTCACATAAAATTGGTTCATCTATGTCCACGTGCACACAATTTTGGAGAGTCTAACCTTGTAGTACAAATGACACAACACTTTCCTTGAGGCTTTATACATTGTGAAGTCTGACCTCCGTAAAGAATATAATAGGTACATGATAGAAGAAAAGTGCTTAGAGAGAGAGAGGTGAATAAGAAACCTAGATATGATTGTTCATCTATTATGTTTTGTAAAGAAACGAGAATAAAGAAAATGAAATGTCATTAATTATCAATGAGATACAATAACCCTCTTAGGGGTAACTAAATCCCTCATTTGGGAGATTAACTAATAACCCAAAATTATTGGGATTAAGAAGGGAGATCCAAGTTATCCTCCGTCTTATTGGTGAAAATAACACATTCTACACACTGGTTAACGTTGCTCTGAGGCCGACCTTACTGGTTATTGTTACCGTTGATACTGCCGGTGCTATTGCCTGCAAAACTTCCCCCATTATAAATAAAATTCCCAAAATTTAAAATGTTTTGCGAAGGGCGATCATCTTCATCGCGACCAGGAGCTCCAACACTGTTCCAATCTTTTATCTCCAAGTCTCTCGAAACATTATATGCGATTTCAACAACATCATCCGGAGGCATCCCTGATATATTGTCATGCGCTTGAATGGTGGAGGAGACAGGGACTGTGAACACCGGCGGTGGCCAACACATACGAAAGTCAACGACGCGAACCGGATGACGGTTGGGGCTCTCCATTTCAGAGTCTCGAGGCTTCCCCCCCTCTGCTCTCTCCGCTTGAATGGTGGAGGAGCCATGGACTCTGAACACCGGCGATGGCAAACACATATGAAGGTCAACGACGCAAACCGGATGACGGTTGGGGCTCTCCATTTCAGAGTCTCGAGGCTTCCCCCCCTCTGCTCTCTCCGCTTGAACGGTGGAGGAGACAGTGACAGTGACTATGAACTCCGACGTTGACGAAGGCAAATAAAGGCGAAGGTCGTCAACCGGACGACGGCTGGGGTTCTCCATTTGAGAGTCTCGAAGCTTCTCCCTCTCTGCTCTTTCCGCTGAACACGATGGCTTTACAATTTTAAACTAGTACTTCACCTACATTCTTTCCTTAAAATATCTATAGATTGAAGAGAGCACAGATCAAACATAATTTTTTTTTAAAAAAAAATTCAGGTTTTGTTTTAATTGTGCTGTAGTTTAGCTGTAGTGGGAACACAAAGGTAGAAAAGTAACAGCCGATAAATTTTGCCAGATGAGGTGGGAACATGATGAGATTAAAACAGGACGGTGAGTGTCAATTCAGCTGTTACATCCAAACCCAATGATGGCTTGATGAGGTCACTCTTTATTGTTTTCAACTCAAATCGGGATAAACTCCATCGCATTGCTTTTCCTTCCCTTTCTGCATACCTTTTCCCTGCATTTATTATTCTCTCCTCTTCTGTTCTCGTTCCTTTCTCTTAGAAACTGATTCTTTAGAAAGTACTGCTTTCGGTTTTTAATATATAAGATTTTATTTGATTTTTATTTTGATCCTAAATATAAGACTTTAATCCATTTTGTTTATCATATTTATACATTTTTTTCAAAGTAATCCTAATGATAATTTTAGCCAATACACTTGATTAATAAGGATATTTTAGGAAAAATAATATATATTTATTACAAATAACTAACTTAACTTTTTTTCTTAATCTCTTCAAATTAATCAACTAACTCTCATAATTAGAACAAGAGGTAGTAATAAGTTTGAGCAGTTTTTATTTATTGTTTTAAAACTTATCATTATAGATTATTCTATTATTATTGAAACTTTTAAATAATTATACTTCTCATCCAGAATTTCATAATAATTCTCTTTAAAAAATAGCGACTTTATAGTCCATACCCACTTTCCATGCTGCTTACGTCATTTCTCTCTTTAGTATTACCAAAAGAGGACAAAATTATCTATATTTAAAATCTCGCGATCTTAAAAATTCTAATGTGAACACTCTTTAAGAAGGATACTCATTATTTCAACACCAAATTGTTGTTATTTCTTGAGTAGGCCCGACACATTGGCGAAGAATGCTCCTAGTTTCACCAAGGAAATATTTAGCTTAACTTTCTAGGTCCTTGGACGTAATTTTCTCCGCGAACCACGGGGCACTCATTTCGGACAAACTACCTTACCCGCTCTATCAGTTTCTTTCTTTGTTTTTTTTTTTTCCGTTGTTGTTTTGCCAAACACCTTATCAGGTTTAAATATCTCAGTATCTCACACGCCACCATCCCCTGAACTGATAATAACAGCTCCAATCTCTTACCCCACTAAACCTAAGACCAGCAGGAAAAACAAAGTGTGCAGGTACGAAAATATGTCACTTTCGTCCATCCCTAAGTGCAACTTGGATTTGATCTATATTTTTACAGACCGAGAAGAAAAAATCAAGACCAGATCTTTAAAACACTCTGTAAATGCTCGCACTTTGTATAATAAATTATCTGAGCATGTCACAGCATTAAAACCCTGAAAGGCACCATGAACATGACTAGAGATTCAATTTTGAACGGAATGTTCTGTTCCGGAAATATAACCATGAGTCGCAAAGAGCCTGAGAAAACCTCGGATTTTTGTGTAAGAGAGATGGCGCTTATAAGATTCCAAACAATGACATTCATCAGACACATCTATCAGAATCTCATAAGCAGAAGACAATTTATTCTCTACAGTTCATCTTCATCGTCGCTACCTCCCCCAAACACGGAAGCCATTTTCAAGGCCAACTTTGCAGCCATTTCCCTTCTCTGGAAATCAGGCATCAGTCTTAAGCCAGCACGCATATTGCCTATCTCTGACATTAGCTGTTCCAAATCCTCTAAGTCAAGACCTTTGCCTGATACCCCATCTTCTTCAGAATCCCCAACTTCCTTGTCACCCTCATCCTGCAATACAGTGCTTGAAGTTGATGGTTGTAAATGTTTATCAGACCTGGTTCCATCTTTGAGTTCAGAATCTGAGATGGGGTTGTTTTGTGAAACTGATTTTCCAGCATCTACGGGAGTAGCAGAAACCCATCTTTGTTCTGTGTCATCCCGAGGATCAGCTGAACCATCAGATAGGACTTCATACTCCAATTCATAATCAGATTCTTCTGAAGAAGACTCTGAAAGAAAAAACCATAAATAGTAAAGCACATATAATATATAGAAGGCAGTGGCACGTAGCCTCCTCCGAGAAACGGGAAGAATTAACAGAGGAAAAACCTTTCTGAGGTATTGATGGTTCACTTATTTTATCACCAGACTTTAAGATCATCCCAGGCCACATATGAGCAGAAAGAGCACCAAATAACCGTTCAACTCCTTGTGAATCACCATCAACAGACAAGCCTGCCAACAATTGTTTATTTTATTTCAGTGACACAATTCATGTATTGATGTAGTACGATTTGGAAATAATCTTCCATCGTTCATGATGGTGTTCTAAAATGATATTATGTGTCATCCTTCAATAACTAATTGCAGTATGAAACTGACAATCTTCATGCATTATGATTCTAACTCATCTATATGACTACATGAGAAACTGAGCATATCTCTGAAATTGAGGGGAATCCACGTCATATTAGATAGCGGACTAGATCATTACAACAGAAAGGCAAACAAGTTTTACATTTGTCAAAATTGGCATTGGAAGCGCACGCCTCAATGAATTCAATGCCATGCTCAGTGAACCATTCTGAACGAGATCTTCTGGAATCCCATGTTGGATCTTCATTCCCCAATAAACTAGTTCCTTCAGAGTCAGATATTCCATACTCCGTGGACTCAGAGCAAGGATCAACAACAGAGTCTTTCAGTTTCTGTAGTCGTCTTCTGTATTCAGCATGAACTGGATGACCTGGAACCAGGTCCACTTTGTTTCCAATACATAATAATATCTCGAAGTTTTGAATATCAGTGCGTGATACCCAATCCTGGAGTGCAGCTAGAGAAGATAACTGCACATTGTTTAGGAAGATCAAAGACGTGTTACATCAACTTTTTCATTGCTAACGCCCATATATCTTCATGGAAAACAAGAATATAGTTCAAGAACAAATTGACACATGATTAAGGATCACATAACTCTTTACCCAAGAACTACACAGGAACACAAATTAAACCCAACAAAAAAAAAAGTGTGTCAAGAGAAGGATGCTAACATCGTTCATGTCAAAAACCATAACCAAAGCAGTCAATTGGTGCGATATGGGCAGGTTCCGAACAGAAAAGTCATCACTAAGATGAGTCATCCATACAGAAACATCAGCAGTATAGTACTTGGTATTGATAGTCCACCTGTTAATTGCATAAAACATACACTCAGGGAGTTCTGAAGAGATATTGTTAAGCAATGAGATACAGAAAATATTCACGAGCAACATACCCATGGACAGACACATCAGAGGCAGAATCGGAAGCATCTTCAAAATCAGTAGAGAGCAATCCTAAAGTCAACAGAGTACATCAAATCAATTTGCGCCACAAAAAATCAAATACAGTTGTAATCCAAGAATGGTGGAGTCAATAACATAGGATTAACATAAACATCACAGCCTTGGTACAAAATCTTGTTTAAAATCCAGAAGATAAAAAAACACACTTCTGTAAGGGTCATTCAAGTAAAAGCCATATCCAATCATTGAACATTGACAATGAGTTAATCTCATGAATTAGATGACAGGCACGGCTCTAAATTAAATCTTCTAAGAAGGCAACAGTAAAAATTTAATGCAAACCAAAGTGTGGCAAAATCTTTCACGCAAAATATAGAAGCAACTGAGCTTAATTATTGGTTTGTCATGAAAAAAACTAAACTTGGTTATCGATATCTGAGAAGGCTATTAGAATGGCGGTGGCAGAATAAAGACAGAAGAGAGAAACTAACGGGATAAGAGTGTGCGTTTGCCAACATTGGAAGATCCAATCACAAGGATCCCGGGTCGATTCTCCAGAGCATTCGGGTCCTTCTGAGAATCGCTAGTATTCATTTTCACTGCCAAATTTGAATTTCACCCTATGAGAGAAACAATATTGAATCTCTCAAGTCTAAAACCCTAGCGAGTCAGCTTGAGCTCGGAATTGCCTTCCCCGTTTCTAACACTGTTCCAGGCCAAATGGTTTCTCTCCTCTGCAAACCTCTCCTCTTCATTCAAATCTGGCCATTGATCTAATCGTGTAGCAGATGGAGCGACACGTAGAAGGCCGGTCTGACGTTGAAAATCAAATGAAAAGAAGCCTCTTTAAGCTATCTCAAATTCTCAATCAGACCGTAAAGACGGCGAGAATATTCCGGTGCCGTTCGTTGCAAGTGACATCCATAGTTATCGCGCAAGACTGGGCTACTCGCGGGAGGGCGGTCATGAGTATTTTCACTTTAAGAGTGCTTTGGAAATTAAACATCAAAGCATAATACATGTATGCACACGAAATTATACTCAAAGCATATGCAGGCACATTCCTTGATTCAAAAGGTAAACTAAACTTTCTTTAAAAAGTTAATTTTTTATAAGATAACATTATTTTTATCTAAGTATTTAATAAATTTTTTTCAATTTTATCCTTGTATATTGTTTTTCTTCTTTAATTTATTTATTACTCCCTCCGTTCCTTATATAAGAGACATTTGATGCTTATGGCATGTTCCTATATATAAGAGAACTTACAAGTTGTCTCTACTTTTTGCGTTGATTTACTATTTACCCATATTTATTATCTCCAACTTACACTCTCTCTCCTTCTCACTTCTTTCTTTAATAATTTAACTGTTCTCTCTCATGCTCTCTCTCCTTATTAATGAGGGCATTTTTGGAAAAAAATTATACTTTTTACACATTAATTGTTTTTAACTAATTTTAACTGTTTTTTTGATCAACGTACTTCGGTTATTTGCCTCTTATAATAAGGAACGGAGGGAGTATATCTTTTACTTATTCTCTTTATTAACAAGGGTATATTAGGAAAAACAAATATATGCCTTCCACATTTATTGTTTTAAATTGATTTTAATTAATTTCTTGATAAATATAATAAATAAAGTTTAGCTTATATTTTAAACCGAGTATATACACGCACAAAATGACAAATGACACCATACATTAATTATGGGAACTATTGTATTATTAATTAATGGATAAAATTTATTTATGAAGTCTGCACTCGACAATAATACACACATGCATTATGCATGTATAGACAACTTCAAGGGACTTAAATTCGCTTGGGATCTTGGTTTCAAGAAGGTGATTTTGGAATCCGATTCAAAAATCTCAATTGATTTGTTGAAGAAAAAAGACAACAACCCAGAGAGCTTACTTTGTCCCCCAAATAAAAAAGTTAATGATGAATGACTGGGACCTTGAAGTACAGCACATATCAAGGGAGCAGAATCAACTTGCAGATTCGTTGCCCAAAGGAGTTTTATGAAACTCTTCTCTTTTCGATTCTTGTCCTCCACATTTGAGGACATTGCTTTTTTTGTTGACAATCCTATTCTAGACACTGTCAGATACTAAACGTGAGCACTTCTCTCAATAAGAATTTAAACCTTGGTTATTTGAGGACCTTATTTGATACTGAATGTTTGGGATCTAGTCTCATCAGTTTGTTTTTAGTCTTTTGGGCTTTTGCCCTCTTGTTTACCCGGAAAAAAACAAAACAAAAACCAAGAAGCCTAAGTGAGGGTTGGAATTACGTTTTAAATATATTTTCTTGATGCTTGCAACTTGTTCTTCAGTCTTCATATTCAACTTACTTCGGTGATTTTTGGCCAAAACTGAGTGGGGTGATTTGGCACATATTTTTTCCCCTTAGTGTAGGAGTTCCTTCTCTAATTCTTATTGTAAAAATTCTTAACATATTTCATAATATAACATATTTTATTTAAAATATTAATTTTTTTTACTTAGTATGCCTAAAATTATAAAACTTCTTAACTTACTAAATAAACTGATGTTCTAACTAATAATTTTTATTACGAATAATTTTAACAAGCTTTATTAATTTATAAAAATCATGCCCTATTGTTAGATCCTTATGACACAGCAGTATCATATAAAAAGCAACTCATAGTCTGACACGATAGAATCAAAACAAATTAAAGTCATACCAATGTTCCAAAAAACTTCATCATCAGATGTCGAGTCATATATGTATACATAGATCAATTGTGCCTTGTACAGTTACGGAAAGAAAAGAAGATTACGTACATCACTCTTCTCAATCAAACGACACACTCACACGATGAACTGGACGAGTTCAGTTTCCGGTTCCAGCAAAAGTAGAAATATCAGAACTAGGGCTAGCACCAATGGCGAAGAACTCAGTGATGACTTCCAGAGGCATGCCTTTAGTTTCAGGGACTTTGAAGTAAACAAAGAGCCAAGACACGATGCACCCAAAACAAACATTCCAAACACACCAGAAAGACCAACCAATTGAAGCAACGAAGGGAAAACAGAAGTGAGGATCAAGGTTGAGATCCAGAACGAAACACAACATATAGAAATGCAGATTCCTCGAACACTGGTAGGGAAGATTTCTGCACACATGATGTTGGGAATCACTCCAAATCCCATGCAGAATACGCTCTCGTACACTATTACACTCAGAGCAGTTATCGCTGCGTTCACCACAGAACTTAGGGTGCATGTAGTCACGTACCACGAGCACCACCAGACACACTATCAGAATGGGCACTGTGTACAGCATTATTGACCTGCAATTCGTGTAATTCATGAGACACTATATTTATACACATAGACACACACACAAGTGGTGTCAATTGAAAAAGAATAAACTTTTGAATTGAAACCTACAATAAGTTGGTCCATATATATAAACCTACCCCAAGGATTCGAGTCTTCTAGCTAGACTTCGCATTCATCTATGATATGCATTCAAAGAAAGATAGAAAGTTACATGACTTTTAATGTTAATCTCGTTTAAACAGAACCACACTTATATGGTTTCCGGCCGAAGATGAAAGTTTAACCATCACTTCAATCCCCAAATATTAAAACAAAACTTTTCATCCTCTAAATTGCATACATAAAGTGAACGTCACCTACAAGTGCAAGCTGTGTGAGGAAAAATCAAGATGACAAACAAAGGATTCGTATCAAGCGACAAATATTGTCTTCAGATTTTAATTTTAACTAATATATTTTACCTATTTGTAATGGTTTGTGGATGAAGCGTTATAGTTAAATCTTGAGAAGCCAAAAGGTTACCAGGCTATCTATAGTCATGTTTCTTCCTTTCGTTCAGTAGTCAAAAGTTTAAGAGTACTTTGTTCTTATTTTATGACGAAATGTTAGTTCAGTAGATAAACAACGAGTTTTATATATTTAAAAAGATATATATTAAAGAGATATTTAGACATATGTACCTTCTGCCCGCAATGTCCATGAGCTTCATGGAAATACCTATACAAGGAAGCATGCAGAATGTGATGACGACATTAACAAGTAACGAGGCAGATGTTGCAGAAAAGCCCAAATTGGCGAGAAGAGCGCCTATCCTGCCTTCTCAAGAACTTGAGGTCCATAGTACAGAGAAACCCATTTATGCCAGCGGCCTGCAAAAATGTGTGCGCGCGCGCGCGCATTAATTCAATCATACCTTATAACAACCACAATCACGAAAAATCCCTAGCTTATTTACCCCTGCTTAGTTTATCAAGATGGACATTTAGATCTAAGGGATTATTAAAATTTGTTGAAGTATTGATTTTTGGTTGTTTGACTGCTTGGACAGTGACTATCATGAACATATTCTGTCATAGTCCTGAGACATAAAAG